GATAGCCAACAAGCATGAAAAGATGCTAAAATCTCTAATCATCACGGAAATGCATGAGATACCATCTCACACCTCACACACAACAGACTGGCTATAATCAAAAAGACAAAAAATGACAAGAGTTGACAAAGGTGTGGGGGAAAAGGAAACTCTCATGCTGGTGGGCATATAAATTGGTACAACTACTATGGAAAACAGTGTGGACATTTCTCAAAAAATTAAAAATAGAACTATTACTATATGATCAGTAATTCCATTTCTGTATATTTATCCAAGGAAGAAGAAAACATCATCTCAAAGAAATAAATGCACCTCTATAATCATTGCAGCATTATTTACAATAACCAAGATATGGAATCAACCTAAGTGTCCCTCAATAGATGAATAGATAAAGAAGTTGTGATATATACATATATATGTGTATATATGTAGATATATATAAAGGGTATCATACTCCCTGATTTCAGCCATAAAAAAGAATGAAATCTTGCTATTTGTGACAACAGGGATGGACCTAAAAGGTATTAAGCTAAGTGAAATAAGACAGAGAAAGAAAAATACCATGTGATTTCACTTATATGTGGAATCTAAAAAGCAAAACAAATAAGCAGACAAAATAAAACTGAAAAGAAACTTAAAGATACAGAAAACAACCTGTTGATGACCAGAGAGAGGAGGGGTTGGGGGACAGGTGAAATAGGTGAAGGATATTAAGAGGTATAGACTTCTAGCTATAAAATAAATAAGTCATGGGAATGTAACGTATAGCATAAGGAATATAGTCAATGATGTTGTAACAACTTCGTATGGTACTAAGACTCATCACAGAGATCATTTTGTGATGCATAAAAATATTGAATTACTATGAGGTACATCCAAAGCTAGTAGTATATTGTATGTCTATTACATTTCAGTAGAAAAAATTTGGACCATTTATTTACAATTATTTTTCTAAAATTTTCCTTTTAGTATGTTCTATAGAAGAACATTGGTTGAAAAGAGTTCTGCCATGTTTAGAACACATTCTAATGCTGAACTTGATATTTAAACGACTCTCTTTTTTCCAGCACCAACACTACTAATTTCTTTAAAACTTTGTGCTTTAAAAATCTTTGGATTTCCAGCATCACTATTAGCTTTGTATTGAGTAAATTTTTACATAATATAGTGGCATGAAATTAAATAGCTTTTTGTCCAGATGCTAATAGATATGCTATATGACAAACTGTGTTGCAGATTTTGTGGACTATAAAACACTGAACAGTGGTCTCCTTTGAACATAGACATTATTTTTAAAAGGTTAAATCTCTGAAGCTAACTTTTTCAGTCATAAATTTTTCCCCCCAAATGTTTATTTTCTATTTGAGAAATGGATCAAACATGCACAGGAAACTGATAACTATTACGTTTTTCTTTGACTATAGGCAGGTGTTCCCCATGCCTTCACCTCTCAAATAATTAGAAGACTGGACAGCTGAAATTTTGAGTAATGCTCCAAGTTTGAAAATGTTATTTTCTAATACCCACTATTACATGAATGTAAGATATAGTTTGATGTGCTCTTTCACTCAAGAAAAATAGAGGTCCTTTCTTGACTTACTAAAACCGGTGTTGGTGGTTATTTAAAACAATAAGGCAGACTTTTAAAAGAAGTTATCAAGAATCACTTGTGTTGTTACTAATGTAAACATTGCAAATGATAGGAGTCTTACAAAGCACTTTGTATTTTCCAGAGCACTTGTTTGCACATGTTGCTGCTTTTTTTAGTAAGTGATATATTTATTTATTTGAGAGAAGGAGAGAGAGAGAGAATGGGAGCATGGGGAGGGGCCGAGAGAGAGGGAGAGAAGCAGACTCCCTGCTGAGTGGGGACCCTGATGCAGAGCTTGATATCATGAACCCTGAGATCATGACCTGAGTGAAACCACCGGTGCCCCAACATCCATGTTACTGCTTTATTCTTACTGTGGCAGAGGACTGTGATAATTGTCATATGACAGTTGAGGGAACAAAGCCTAAAGTGAGTCAGTCATTACAGGCATAGACTGAAGCCCGTGACTTTGCTATCCTATCTCACTTCTCTAGGCAATCTTCTATGGTCATAGGATGGTGGAATTAATTCAGCCCTCCAAATATGTCTTCCCACTTCCAGACCTCACCCTTCAACAACAAAAGATGTGCATTCCCACTCCACAATGCTTTGAAAAACTTGTGTTTTTTCCTTTTACCACACTATTTCAAAACTTGGGGTGGCTCCCCACTTCTAAATGGATTCCATTAGGCTTCACTGAGTGTACTTTCAATCTCATTTACCTTTCCAATTCATGTCCAATGCATACTGTCATTCTAGCCAAACCAGTATGTCCATTGCCCCTAGGTAAATGCTGTAATTCCTTTGCTCCTGCTGGTCTGACAACTCAGGGTATAGGATATCCTCCTTTGGGCCATCTATATTAATCAAAAAACAGCTCAAATCTCACCTAGTCCATGGAACCTCGTTTGCTGACCTCACTCTTGACTGATACAGCATTCCACTAACAGCATTAATAAAAGACAAGCACTGTCTGATAGAAATTTAATAAGAACCACAAATGTGAGCTAAATATATAATTTTAAATGTTCTAATATTTATTTATTTGTTGTTAAAGGTCTTATTTGTCAGAGAGAGTGAGCATAAGCAGGGGGAGTGGCAGAGAGGGAGAAGCAGGCTTTCCACTGAGCAGCAAGCCTGATGCAGGACTCGATCCCAGGACCCTGGGATCATGAGCTGAGAGCCAAAGGCTCATACTTAACCAACTGAGCCACCCAGATGTCCCTTAATATTCATAAACTTAAAAAGCTTAAAAGGGTGAAATTAATTTTAACAATATATCTTTTATCTAATATATCCAAAATACTGTAATTTTAATTGTAGTCAATATAAAAGTTGACATTTTACATTCTTTTTTTTCATACAAAGTCTTCAAATATGTTGGGTATTTTACATTTAGCAGCACATCTCAGTTCAGACAACCACATTTTAAGTGGTTATTAGCTACATGTGGCCACTGGCTACCATATTGGACAGAGCAGGTGTAGACTATTCAATTTAATAATTACGTATGCAGTTATAGTGTTGTTTAAATAGCTTGTGTGTGTGTGTGTGTGTGTGTGTGTGTGTGTGTGTGTGTGTGTGTAAAATTTTTCTAAGGGGAAGAAAATGTCTTACTTTTCATAGTTTCCTTCATGACCAGCATTATAGAGGCACTCTGGGAGGCTACAGTTTAGAGGCCTCATTTAAATGTTCATCTATCTATTTTTCAAACAATGTGTGTCCACTGTAAGAGAGATATTATAGGAGCCATTGGGAATATAAAGAAGAATGGAACACCCCTTAATATAACGATTTTACTGTTATTTTAGAACTAGAGGGATTTTTGAGAATGGTTTATGTCAAAGCAGGGAAAAGAGCTCCCCTACACTTGTGGTGGTCCAATTCTGTGTTCTTGTGACACCTTCTGGTACCCCCCCGCCACTTTTCCCATAGCCTCCTGAGTTGGTCATTGGTTTGAACATGGAGATTATCAGGCTACCTGAGGTTTAGTCTAGAAATGACCATTTGGAAAGGTAGCAACATCATACAGCCGTCTCATTTCTCTTTACAACATTCCTGGGTCAGACTCCTTGGAGAACCAAAACAATTTGTTCCATTGTTATAACAAAAATAGACTCTAACATTGAGGTGCCTGGGTGGCTCCGTCAGTTAAGCATCTGCCTTAGGCTCAGGTCATGATCCTGGGGCTGCGGGATTGAACCCTGTATCGGGCTCCCTCAGAGAGCCTGCTTCTTCCTCTCCTTCTGCTTCCCCCTGCTTGTTCTATCTCTCTCTCTGTCAAGTAAATAAATAAAATCTTAAAAAAAAAAAAAGTACTTAAAAAAATAGACTCTAAAAGAAGGGACGATAACAATTTTCTGCTTGGACATTGTCCTTAAAGGGAAAGCTGGGAAACTCCCACTCATAAGGCAGTCTGTTCTAATTTTGGACACCTTTAATTTTTAGAAAGTTCTTTCTAAAGATCTATTTCTCTGCAACTTCTTGAAGTCCAATTATCATCTCAACTTTTTAAGATGAGGAGGTGAGGAAACTGGTGCCTAGGTCAACTTGGTTTATTATGAAGTGAGAATTAGTATTAGGAATTGTCTTTAATATTAATTTATGGTATATGTCACTACTTTGATATCCTAATGTAACTGATAAAATTGTGGCCTTTTTTTTCTTCACTAAAACAGCATAGTTAAGGAACAAACTAGTCTGTGACATCCAGACTAGTGCTTTGTTCTTCAGATCTCCCTTCTCTTTTAGGTAACATTGTATAAATCTTTCTCAACCAGCAGAATTATTATGCTCCTGAAAAAAAAAATGGCTTCTAAAATGTTTTATGTCTTTTCCCGCCAAAGTCAGGATATTTTTTTGCACATAATGGCGAAACATAGTTTTCTTAATACCCCTTTCAACTTTTCTAGAGTCAAACATTGCTTTGATTTTAATTCAACGGTCTGACTATTTTAAAAACACGTCAGGTATCAAGACCAGGCACGTACAGTTCTTAGCCATATGCTTAAGAGATATGTAACCTTGGAAAATAGACCTGGCTCTCTTTCATGTGTTTTAGTTTGTGTATTGGAAAGATGGATAAAACCATTACTTTGAAGAAAGTGAGGGTGTTGTGGATAATAGATCTAAGATCAAGATTACTAAATTCATTAACCAAAGAAACGCTAAATGTCAACTTTCAAATTCTACTTCTTTCTGATTTATTTTTCTATGTAAAATACGACATTAAAAAACACCAAAAAGTGGAAATTGGTAACCTTTATGATTTTATTCTAAAATGTTTATTTCCATTTCACTCCTTTTAGAACTTATAAGAGGGATTCAGCAATCAAGTATAGTATTAACAAACAAGGAAGGGAACAGGGAAAAATTGGAATTATTTGAAAAAAAGAAAAAATGGACTTACCATTAAAATGGCCAGAGCCCCTGGTGTTCTGAAAAGGAGCCAAGTCATTTTCTCTGACTTCCCTGGTGGACAAATCCAAGGAAGCTGCTGCTTCAGTCCTTCCAACTGTCTGCATATGATGTCTAAGAAAAGCCCTTCGGTCACGACTCTGCTTTCTGGAGTCTACAGATGGTCTGTTATGCAGCTCCTCCCCACCCTAAACCAAGGATTGGTCTTACCAGAACGCTTGCATCACTTTTGCTCCCAGGTAAAAACTTAGACACACCTCAATTCCAAAAGCAAAGAAATCCTTTGTTGGAGGCTGAAAGAAAAGTTCACAGGCTGAAGACAGGTTTAATAGGAAGGTCCCAGATGAATAATATTCATCATGGTGTGGAAGTGCAAAAGCTTGTCCTGACTACACTGAAAAAGAATCTAGTTGGCTTTTCTTCAGGGTTACAATTAAAACTGAAAAGCAAAACAAAACATACAAAAATCCCCCCAAACCTAACTTGTAGAAGAGCTTTTGTTTTTAGTCTGAGTATATGTGGGCAGATTGAAAGTGAAGCGAAATGTCAGTGTGAAGTAATGATATATTTTATTGAAAGTAATTCAAATTTGAAGAAGAAAACCATCACATCAAGCAATTATTAATACAGGTTTTGGGAAAAAAAGTAGAAATAATTGAAAATAATTAGGAATAAAATTGGAGTAAACAGTTATCTGGTGCCTTGGATATTTGAAATATATAAATAATGCATTGCAAAACCAGATCCCTGATAATAATCAGATGACTTATTTCCTCTTGCATTCCTTTTCATTTATTTTATTTTATTTATTTATTTTTTAAAGATTTTATTTGTTTATTTGACAGACAGAGATCACAAGGAGGCAGAGAGGCAGGCGGAGAGAGAGGGGGAAGCAGGCTCTCCACTGAGCAGAGAGCCCGATGTGGGGCTCAATCCCAGGACCCTGAGATCATGACCCGAGCCGAAGGCAGAGGCTTAACCCACTGAGCCACCCAGGCGCCCCAGTATTCCTTTTCATTTATAAGTTTGTTCAATGATAGGTTGCATAGTGAAGAAGGTTATCTTTGTGCACTTTTAATTAGTCAAAACATTTCCTCTGGAGCAGTCAACCACCTTGCTGTAATATATTTATGCACTTCTAAATATGTAGTTGCCAACCCAAGTTAGAGGTTGGGGGAAAATCTACTAATACGACTTTAGTTTGCTTTTAACACTAGAGTTAAAAACGCTTTTAAACATTCCAGAGTATTTAAAGAAATTTTTCTTTGGTAGAAGAACAATTTTATCTTTACAAGTATTTATGCGTCAGGTTTTGGAAGCTTTTTAGTTTCAGGAAAACCATTTAATCAGAGTATTTTATTTTATTTTATTTCTGAATTTTTAAAATTTGAATTCAATTAGTCAACATAGTACATCATTAGTTTTTTGATGAATCACATTTTATTTTATTTCTGAATTTTTAAAATTTGAATTCAATTAGTCAACATAGTACATCATTAGTTTTTTGTTGAATCACAGAGCATTTTAGACAGAAAGGATTTTGTAATCTGAAAGTTAGGGAAGTGGACAAAATCTTGTGGTTTTAAAAACAATTGTGGTGAAATATGCATAACAAAATTGACTATTTTAACCATTTTTAAGTATAAGGCTGAATGGCATTAGTGGTATGCTCATATTGCTGTGCAAACATCACCACCATCCACCTCCAGAAAAATGTTTTTGTAACAAGTTTTTGCAGATAAGTTTTATTGGAACATAGACATGCCCATTTATGTATTATAAGTGACTGCTTTCGTGGTACAATGAAGAGTTGAGCGGAGCCTTTTATGAATAACACTGTAAACTACAGGGCAGGAAAGAAGAGAAAGATTTAATGAATTCTTTCCTTTTCCATAATTTAATGTCTTGTAATCCTTCAAAATATTGTACTAAAGACAAAAGAGGGGTGCCTAGGTGGCTCAGTCAGTTAGCCTTTGGCTCAGGTCATGATCTTAGAGTCCTGGGATCAGGCTCCTTGCTCAGCGGGGAGTCTGCTTCTCCCTTTCCCTCTGCCTCCTCCCTGCTGCTCAGGCTCTGTCTCTCTCAAATAAATAAATAAAATCTTAATAAAGATAAAAGAGATTAAAAAGATGATAGCAGTGAGTTATGATATTCCTAAGCGTACCCATAAGTTGCTCTGAATCTAGATTCTAGATACGACTTACTTTGTTCTGATTTACCTTTTCTAAAATTCCAGTTCTTTGACAACTTTAATTAATTAGGGGCTTCCACTCCTTCTTCACTGATAAGGAAATATTTTACTTTAGTACTTTAAAATACCAGTTACAGATTAAAATATCAGTTACACATGGTATATAAAAACTGTGGACATCCTTGTAGGAAGTAATATACGAGACTTGGCCCATTGCAGCCAATGTAGACTCCATCTATGTCCCAGTCAAGAAGGACTGGAGAAATCCACAAGTCCCATTGTGCATTCTACAGGCAAGCGGTGCTCTCTGATTTTACATGTGCTCTTGACAATGATTTAAGCCAACACTTTTTTTTTGTTTGGAGATTTGGGACCTCAAGAAAGTAATAAAACATGTTGTTGGGGCCCGATTTGCATGGTGTTGGGAAGGGAGTGGTGGTTACTTTGGCTGGGGAGTGCATTTGCGTAATGCCTTCGGACTAAGCAGGGTTTTCTCTTGTCATTTCATTTGTTTGTGAAAAGGAAAGATGGGAACATTTTCCAGGGGTTTCTGTTGCATGATTATGTTATTACTCTCTGAATAATGGCTTTGGAAACCTAAGCCCAACTTGACACTGGCTGTTATTCCAGAGGCTGAAATAAAAATGAGGATAATAACAATAATAATCATAATCATTAGAAGGGAGCTTCATTGTATGTGTACGTTATGGTTCAACTGAGGCACCATATTGAAAATATAACAGTTGGATAGTAGGACACATCACAGGTTTAAAAAGTTAAAGAAACCATTCCTCAGTTTGCTAAAAATTGAACTATGGCCTAAGAGGTGAAGCAATTAGAATGAATATTTATTCAACTGGGCAGTAGCTTTTGAGGTTTCTGTGATGTTTCTAAACACTCATTATCTAGAGCAGTTCTATTATTCACCAAGTAGAGAATGTTAATGAGACTTTGCCTTTACTGGCAAGGATTCACTGGTTTGTTTGTTTTGACTGGAAACGTGTATGTAATGTATTTTATATGTCAGACATTACTGCTTTCTGATATTTAATTCTTCTTGAATATCTATAAATTCATGAAATTAAGATACTAGTTCCATAAATCATGCATTAACAGAATTACACATACATCTTGAAATGACCTGCAAAAGTTGTGACCCATCACCCTTGGTTGTTCAAGGTCATGGAAATCAGACCTCTTCCATTACAATCATACCTGAAGGCATGCAGAAATGTCAGGAATTTAATAACTGTGCACCAGCAGAGAAGAGTCTGCACTTTAATAATTAGTGAAAATAGAGCTGTTAATCGAATTTGCTCTTAGATGGTGTGTAACATGGTCCACCATGTTTTGCAATTCCTGGAATTATTTCTTTAAAAGGATGTGTGTGATTCTTACCATATATTGATCGAAGCCCAAACTTCAGAAGAGTGATTTTGGGTGACTGCGTATCTAAAAAATTTTTGCATAAGCTGCAGATCAGGGTCAACATCTTTTTGCTCGGATTTAATCTGATTAGGCAGTTGCTTCTTTGTGGGAGTATTTTTGTCAGGTAATAAGCATGAAGGAGGGATTTTCAAATGAATATCGTGCTCACTCCACTATTCTTTAGGAATAGTTTTGATTTGGTTCTTGTGATTTGCTGGAGATCAAATTGAATAGCTGGGATCTATTTGCAAAGTGTATTCGGAATCCATGTAGTTCCTACCTCCTTGGGCTTCTGCACTAGCCAGACCCCTAACATCTCTCATGTAGACCAGGCAATGGACAATGACTGAGCTCTTGTTCCTTTTTCTTCTCACCCAGTCCACCCCTCACTCAGCACCCTGACTGCTACCTGTAAAAGGATCATGGCTTCCAGCATGCTTGGACCAGAAGCAAATCTGCCTGGCAAAGCCTACAAGGAACTGCCTGATTGACTCTGCTTTCCTTTCCAACCACATCCCACACTCTATCCCTCTCATATGTGTCTTCTTTTGTTCTCCAGAAACCCTCAGCAACTTTCCTGCCTTAGGTTCACTCAGTTTCTTTCTCTCCTGGCTGGCTTCTTCTCACTCATCAGGTGGTAGCTTCTACTACCTTCTCCCCGCAGTTGGGCACTCTTTTCCTCATATCTTTTTATCAGTCATCCCAATTTGCATTGCCTATCAGGCCTAGTACCATATATTAGCTGCTTTTTCTTAGTTGGATTGTTTAGACTGTGAGTTCTATCAGGGAGGAATTATGTCTGTTTCATTTAATAGCATATTCCCAGGAATTTGCAGGTTGAACAAGTGAATATATCTTTAAGAATTTTGTGCAGATATAATCTGCTGGAACAAAAGACACATACAGTTCAAAGTCTTAATAGATTGTCATCCAAAAGGCTATACCAATTTGCATTTCCATGGATAGTGTAAGAAAATGCTAGTCATAACGCTTGTCACAGATAAATCTTTTCTGCTTCTTTTATGCGAAAATAGTACCTTTATGGAAAAAAAAATTTAACTCTGTTAAGAGATTTAAATGTTGTGGGACACCTGGGTGGCTCAGTCGGTGAAGTGCCTGCTTCGGCTCAGGTCTTGTGATCGAGTCCCGCACTGGGCTCCTTGCGTGTCAGGGAGCCTGCTTCTCCCTCTGCCTGCTGTTCCCCCTACTTGTGCTCTTTCTCTAAAATAAATAAATAAAATCTTTTTAAAAAGAGAGATTTAAATGTGTATTTAAATGCTAATAATTTACTGGATTCTAATAAATTAAAATAAAGTTAAGATTCCGAGTATAGTAATCTAAGGTATTTGACTCAGAGCTAAGCAAGTTCTGGACCTTGGTTAGATCCCAAGGACCTGGCATCCTTCCTGGATCTAACATCATCCTGGTCTTTTCACCATTTCAGGTAATATGATGATGGGATAGGAAAAGATACGAGAAAACAAACATGCAGTCAAATAGTAAT